AACCTCTTTATTTAGCATGCAGTCAAGAGACTCCCAGCTTCATTCAAATTTTCACAGATGTACACAGATTTAAAATGCTGGAATACATAAGCACAACCAGAGACTTCTAAGCTCGCAAGAAGCTGCCTTCCTCGGCATATGAAATGCCATCACCCACTGCTGTACTTAAACAGCTTCATTCCACTTCCATTTATCGCCTCTGCACTTCCAGCCCCACTATTGCTGCCTGGGTCTGTGCATGAACACAACTGCATCCTTCAGAGACACATCCAATTGCTACACTCAGAGGAATGGTCTCCCACAGGGTTTGCGATTCACCCCTGTCTACCTATATGATATCCCAGAAAACTAATCTCCAGGATGACAGCTCATTCAGCACTCTGGAAAATTTACCCACACTGATCTCTTCTTTAAATAATGACCTGACATTTGTTCTGTAGAGGGAGACAAAGCCCAGACTGATGAAAACAGTTGGCAGCTGCTTTCATTTGTGCCATTCGGAAGCCGGCTGATAATTTGTCCTCAGGGACCCATCACTTCTTGGCAGACAGACCTGTCCAGTGCTCTTTGCTATTACTTTTGCTGTTCCCTCCCACCCCTAGCGTATGCGGCGCACACAGAGTCAATATTCAAGGCAGACTAAACGAAAACTGACTGCCAAGAGTCATAAAGGATTTCATGATACTGAGAACTGGGAGATAAGATCACAGATTAATTTGGTGATGATAAACACAAAGCAGTGGATATTGGGAAAAACAGATTTGTTTTCCTACCTACATAAAAGGTTAAATTAGCTATTGCTCAGGAAAGAGATTCCAACGTCTCTGAAGCACAGCTTAACGAAGACATTAGCGAAGCAATCAGCAATGGTCAAAAAGGCAGAGCAGTACGAATTACTAGGCAAGCAGACCAAACCAGAACACGTTATTCCAGATGAATTGTGAGCTCATCTTTTGCATACGGTGTGCAGCTCTCATTCTTTTAAGTTAGCTGGAGCAGAATTACAAAAGGTACAGACAAGGGTGACCAGGATAATCAGAATGTCTTCCATACAGGGGGTGAGTAAATAGATGAGGACTTTCCAGCCTGGAAAAAGAGGTTACTAGGGGCTGATAATAATGAGGGTACATAAAATCATATAGGGGATCAAGAAGGAGAACAGATGCAATTATTCATTAATTCTCACAGTGCAAAACTAGGAGGCACAAAATTAAGTGTTCGTATAGCAGGTTACAGGAAATAATCACATAACAAATAAAATACTTTTTCACACAGTCTGTAATTAAACTGTAGCACTCACTGTCAAAGGATGTTGTGGAGGGGTAACAATTCAGGATGGTTCAGAGAGATGTTTATCTTGGACAACAAAGTTACAAAATGCTTCCCAGTATTTGGAAACACTACACAAACAGATAGGGCCGTCCACACCTTACCTGCAGAAGAGCAATAACAACGACAAGGAAAGAGACAAATAGAAGCATTAGTCATCCATGGACGTGGTCCCACCACATCTCACATCCCTATGGGTGCAGAGCCTGTGCTCAGATGTAGTCACCAGGAGGGGAGGAGATATGTGTATTTTTCATATTATGCCTCTTATTCTATCTATTCCTGGCAGTTTTTATTTTTAAGGATCCCCCAAATTGTTGCTAGTATGTTGGATGCTTTCTGTTCTACCCAGCCACAGAGGTAGTTGTAACTGCACTCCAGAGAGATAAGCAGCAGAGAGGTGGAGGAAGACAAGCTAAAGCAGGTTTCCCTCTTTACAGATAAAAAAGCAAAAGCCCTTACGTGCTGCAAACGTTCCAGCAATCATCTTCCATCTTCCACCTAAGCTACAGCTGAATGTGTCTAATTATCACTAACATCAGCACGGTCGGGCAGCAGTACAAGCAGCCACGCTGCTGTCTCACTTCTCCCTTTAAAACACGCGCTCTATTACACGATCTCTCCTGTCGTCTTGGGATCCTCTCTGGCCACTTCCAGTCGGGGCGGTGAGGGAGGGAAAGGGAGTGGGTTCAGCCTCGGAAGGTACCATGCGATATGAACGCAAGCGGTGCCACCGCACAGGGGTTGAAGGGATACTGTACACAAAGCAGCGCCGGGTTCTCAAATGCATCTGTTTCCCTGGCTATAGCACGGGCTGCAGAAATACAACGCTGGTTTACGGCTGAATCAAATCTCGCTTCAGTCACGCTACTGTCGCTGTCCTTGGAAGCTGTTTTAGTTCAGGATGCCTGCACAGGCCTTCCTTCTTTCACATAAATATCCAGTGCTGAGTTTTGCTGAAGAAAACGCAGGGAAGATGAGATTCACTCTTCAGCCTGCGGTCAGGAGTCCTTCCTTTGCCACCTGCGCCCATGCAGACGAAACCCCAGGGGCAGGAGACCATGAGATCAATGTAGAAACTGCTGCGGTCTCCAGCTTCCTCCCCTGCAGCGCTGCGGTGACCCGGGCAGGGCCGCAGGGAAGCCATGGCAGCAGTGGCAAAGGGGCATCTGGGGCTGCCCTGCAGCTCGGAGCTGCACCCAGCTGGCGCGAAGACCCTCAGCCCAAGCCCTGCAGCTCTCTCATCGTGGTGCCAGCAAATGGGGACACTGCTATGGGCCCACAAATCTGGTTCCCACACATGAAGGTGAAGAAAGGGAGAAGCTTGGTCTCACTTTCTGCAATACCCATGGCCACAAATAAGCTGGTACAGAACAGGCACCGGTGTGCAGCAAAGCATGGCAGAGTTTCCTTTTCCTCCCAAGAGGCAGGGAGGGAGCAGAGCACGAACCAGACTTGGTTCAGTTCCTGCTTTCCTTACAAGGCTGTGCAAGCCAGGCCCGTGGCTCAGGCTACCCTGCAGTCTTGCCTCCTAGCCCCATATGACTCCCTCCCTTTCCCAGCTATAGACTTCGAACGATTGCTAGTCAACGTTGACCAGTAAGTGAGACCATCTCCACATAAGGTGCCCCCACGTCACTAAGACATCACAGAACATGAAGCAGCTCACCAAGAACATGTTAGTACAGAAATAACAAGGCTGATATATATTTGCCTTTCCATTGTATTTAATACATTTGTATTTAATACATTTATTTATATTCACCCATCCCTTCTTATTTGATATGATGAAGTATTTGCTTTGAATGTAGCCACCACCTCAGCTGAAACGCAGAGAGATGTGACCAAGTTTGCCCATTTGGTTTGGCCCTCTCTGTTCCTCAGCAGTGTCACAGCTCAAAGGCTGGGACAGCCGTTCCCACACGAGCTCCCCTTGTGCCAGGAGATCACGGAGCCCAATTTGGGCACCTTCCCAGCCGGCTGCATGTGTTCCCCACTCAAATCCCAAAGATAACAGAACAAGAAGAGCCCATCCAAAATGGAGACGAAGAAAGGATGTGCGATATCTTTATCTGGTCTTTTCACAAAAATGCATTTGTGTGCATTGCAGTTCACTTTTTCCCAAATACAGAGCCCAGTGATGGGCGATAAGAAGATGGAACTGAAAATTAAAACTGTAAAATAGGATCAGTGCTGTGCTTTGGTAGTGGTCAGTATTCGCCCCAGCACAGCCAGGAAGGAAATAGTTTGAAAATGCCAGATGCTCTTTGCAACTGGTATTTTGGACGTATTTCCAGCAGGGATTTCTCCCCTCCCCATGAAAACAGACACACATTCTCATTTAACAACTAATTGGTTTATTTAACAATACAAATTTCTTTCTACTGCATGGTTTAGCAGAGAGAACTTGAGAAACAAAATTAGCTTCTTTTCTTTTTTTTTAAAGTTTAAATGTTTACACAAAAACAACCTTTACTTCAGTAAATATAAAATTTACACACAAAAAAACTACATTAAAAAAAGAACAGAATCATGACAAACCAACAAAAAAAAAAAAAAAAAAGGATGGGAATTCAGTGTAAAGGATCCAATTGCAAGGAAGGCAAGATGGGGCAACACTAACAAGGCATCCCACTTGTACACCTAGGTACCTGAAGTTGTAGGTACAATACAAACCCAAAATACATTAAAATTAGGATTAAAACCTGCATTTTTATACCATAATATTTTATCATACAAATATCTGTAAATTCTGTAGGCAACAGAGTCAACATGTGAAATACATAGTTTGCTCTTCACCGGAAAGTGACTGGAGTGGTGTACGGGCACCGTGTCACTCACGAGTGCGCTAACGGTCAGCAGGGAGCAGACTTTAGACGTCCAGCCCGGATGCGATAGCCCCTTGATTCTTTGCCAATCTGTGCTATTTCTCACACGTCCAATGACATAATGAGAAACTCTGGTCACCTTCAGCAGTGATTTCCAGCACTTCATCTCCTGGCATTAGTCTGTTACCTGACGTAGGCATATTCACCTGCCAGATCCCCTGTTTCTCATTCCCTTTTGCACTTTATAACCTGAACTCTAAAGCTATCTTGTAGCTACCAAGACAGACTGGCTTCTAGGCTGAGATATTTGGGATACACAGTTCTTCAAGCCACCTTCAGGAATCTGTAGAAATATTTAAAGTAGGGTGGACAATTCATGGTCAAAGGTTATGTGATACAAAAAAACAGGGACCTATATAGTGATGGATAATTTTTGATCTAAATCCTTAACATTTTTTCTATTGCTTTAATATTTAAACTTAACATTCAGTTTTCATATATTAAATGAGCAGAGCATCTTATTGGTGGAAGTGCTACATTATCTCAAAAAACACCAGGTAGTAAGGGAGACTGTAAAGTTTAAAATTAAATGTAATTTTAAAAATCATTTAAAGGGATCAAGTCTCTTGTCTTATAATCAATATTGTGACTGGCAACCTATAAAAGCTTAAATTATAAAACTATTAGTGACTATACTTTTTAAACTGTATGTACTATAAAGCTGTATCTTTGTTACTTACAGATGTTAC